CCTATTTCTAAATAAAATATAAAAAGGCTGGGGATGTGGCTCAGTGGTTAAGGGCCCCTGGGTTCAATCCCTGATACAAAAAAAAAAAAATGTGCATGCTGCTGCTGGGCAAGCACTCTGTGAATATCACCTGGGTCACCTTGATAGAGGGGCAGCCTTCCATGCCCTCTGGCTTTCTGATGGCCCCTTTTAATGGGTTTCATGGAAAGAGCTGCTTTGAAGGCTGCTTCCTGATAAGCCTGATGCTTGCTCTTCCACCAGCTCTTATTTCTTCCTGGGACATCTCCATGTGTTGAACACTGTTGGAAAGATTACTTGAGGGAATGATTCCACTCACTCTGACACTGACTTCCTCTAGAAGGGACTGTTTGTGTGTTTTTACTTCTTCCAGACAGTAGAAGTCTAGCATCATGTGACTCCAAGTTCAAGGTCTGCACTTTGACATGACTGGTGATCCCAAGTTGTCCTTGGCCCACAGAGGCTGGGTCCTATCTACTGTCCTCGATCCTGGGTTCAGCCCTTGGAACCCACCAGGCAGGTGGGGTCACATAGTCCCTGGCTGCCAGGGTTTGGAGGCTGAAAGGGCTGGCATAGGCCTGGGTGTGAGCCCTATGGCACTAGCCTTTCCTGCCCCTCAGCCTGGCAGCTCCTCCCTGACTTTTACCCTTGTGGGGTAAAATGATTGATGTCCCTCTTATTAACAACAAGTGGCAACAGAATTGTTAACCTGTACTCTGTAGTGAAGACTTCAAGCAAGGTAGGGGAAGGGGAGCTGCAGAAGCTGCAGACGCCCTCCAGGAAGCCACACATGCACAGGACAGACTCCACAGGAAGACAGGAAGTAGTGACTAGCAACAGAGGAACATTTGCAAGGACAGCACCTGTCCAGAGCCACAAATGGCCATTATGGGCTGGCGTGTCCCACCTCCAGCTGGCCAGGGCAGATAGGAATTGTGGAGAACCTGGTGCTTTTAGCAAGGACTCTTGGCCCCTAAGACCTAGACCCCTTGGGGCAAGCACTTTGGCTCTAGACTTGCTGTATCGAGCTTAGAAAGAAGACTAAAGGGTCACAGTGTCTCTACTTGAGCTAATTGTCTACCAAAAGAGAAGATAGAACACTCACACACATAGTAACACAGAGCCCATGACCTGAAGCCATGCATGATTTATTACATACACAAAGGAGCAGAACTATAAGATCCAGAAGCAGGAAGAAAGTCTATCAAGAGAAGCAAAACCCTAGTGACAACATCAGAACTAGACATCAAACATCTTCAAATTTCCATCACAAATATGATCATGCATTAAAGGAACACACGGGTATAATGAGAGAAAGGGGAATTATATAAAAGAAACAATTTGGAAATTCTAAAATGAAAACACAATGTGTTAGCTAAAACTTCACTGGATGGGCTAGAGTGAGGTACAGTAAGACTGCAGACACAGAAACGACATCAGGAAAAGAGTTGGTGCTCACAGTCACAGCAGGCCAGATCAGCCAGCAACAGGAAGGACAGGAAGGGGCAGGAGGCAGGAGGAGGGGAAGGGCCAGAGCCCCATGGAGTTTGGGGAGGGATAAGTGCCACAGGGTAGCAGGATCAGCAGGTCCCCCAGGGTCAGCAAAGGATTGAGTCAACAGAAGTTTGGGTCACTGGGGTCATTTCAGTGGGCTCTGGGCTGTGGGGTGGCCTCTAGCCCTCAGGCGCCTGGTCTTAGGGCAACTTAGGTCAGGAGAAGATCAGCTTGGTGTGTGAGTTTGGTAAAGGAGATAGTTGTAATGAGGGCCCTGGATAGGTGTATCCGAGGTGCAGTCACGGGTCCTTCACCTGTGCAGGAAGCAGCCAGGCTGGGAGGGGACATCTCTCCAGGATCACGCCCAAATGCCTGAGAATCAAGGACACAGAAAGCAATGAAATGTCACAGCCACAGCTAAACTTCTCATTAGACACTGAAAATAATAGCTCTGAGAAACTGATAACAAGATGGAGGTTGTTCTAAAGACTCAGATGTAAACCAAGCCTCACTGCCCTGTGGCAGATACAAGCAGGCTACAGTAAATGTAACTGGACTCCCAGACAGAGGAGGAAAGGGAAAGAAAAAACCCATAAGTAACGACCTGATGCCCAGTGAGTGCAAGAGTCCAGAAGGAGGGGCACAAGGACCCCACACCAGGGGACATCAACCCACACAAGTGCTGTGCTCAGCAGTCACAGGACCCACATGCTTTGCAGATGCATGTACGATACACATAGGGCAGGGCTAGTAAAGTTGGAAGGTTGAAATAACTGCATACATTCTAACTACAACAAAATTAAATTTAAAATTAACAACAAAAATCTGAATGCCCCCATATCTGGATATTTTTTAACACTTTTAAATAATGACCTGTCAAACAAAATATTCTAAAACTATTTAAAGACATCCACTTTCAGCCAAAATGGAGTAGCAGAAAATGAAAAAGAGGCTTTTAAGACACTGCACATCAGGCAGTGAAAGACAACAACGCCAAGAGATGGAAATGATCAAGGTGAACCTGCAAAGGTCCCAAGTGAGTCTTCAGGCCTCTGTGCAGGCATGAATTGATATGGGATGAATGAAAGAAAGCCAGGCATCTCCAGATGTTGGGAACAAATAAAGGAGAAAGTAGAGGTTGCAGAGAAAACTCCGCAGCCATGCAGAGGGTCCCCACATCCAGAGCCTCCGAAGCATGCCTGGCAGGAAGCCTGTGGCTCTAGTCACATTGCCTTCCAGAGCAAATGAAGCTAATCTGCAAGGAAAAGAATCACAACAGAGCAGGGATGGCTAGGAAAGGGCATCAGGACATCTCTCAGCCAAGGAGTTACCTTGATGAGCGTGATTTCCACGCACGCACGTGCACTTTGGTCAAAATCCACCAAACTCAACACACAGCATAAATTACACCTCAAAGAGATATTTAGAAAGTGATTTTTAAAAATAAGAGCTCCTACAAATCAAGTAAAAGAGGACACCATTGGAAGAAATGGACAAAAGATGGGGCACCTCACAGAAGCAGAAGCTCACATCTATAGGAAACACCCATGAGAAGCAGGGAAATGCAAGCCTCCGCACAGGGAAACGCGGCTTAGCAAAGACTGAGCTTGTGGCCCCCTGGCCTGTCGGAGAGGGTGGGAATCCATGTTAGGCGATAATCAGGCTCCAAGAGCAGACTCCTCCGGAGACCTCTTCTGGGCTCACTCCCAGCAGCGCGCCTCCCGGCTCCCTCCACAAATTGCCTGGAGAGCAATTAAGAGTCCCCCAAGTTGGGGAGCAGAAAGAAGACTGGGAGGAGGGCGAGGCCCCTGAGGAGCCAAATAAAGACCACGTGGAGCCAGCGGCTGTAGGCCCCCGCCCCCCACCCCCAGCCTCTCCCAGACCCTGTCCGAGCTTCACGAAGACAAGGCGGGGACTGTGCTTTCCTAGCCCGGACCTTGATCTTGAGGCAACGCCCCGGAAGGCCCTGTGAGCGCAGCATTTTTCCGGCGACCCCCGGCTGCCACCGGCGGGCTAGCTGGCCCGAGCCGCAGGAACCAGGACCCGGAGCCGTCCAGCCCCGAAGCAGCCAAGGCCAGACCCAGGCACTAAGCCCTGGGCTCAGTCTGCGTGCTCGTTCGGGCCTAAGACCTGCGCGCCTTCAGCCTGCAAGTCCAAGGCGGGCCCACAGACCCTTGCAGGCCCCTCGCAGCTTCGCGACCCATCTCACTACCGGGGTGCTGAGACTTAGGGGCCAGTCCTCTGGCTCCTCCGCCAGAGGCTCTCTGGCCCCGCTGCGCCCCTGCCTGGGTGGGCCGCAGTGATCCGCAGAGCTAGCCATTCGCCCCAGCGGGAGTCTGGCGTCTGCCTAAGCCCTCGGCGGCTTTGGGGAATTCACCTTGGTGGAGCCCTTCTGCGAAGGGCGAATTGCAGAAGTAGAAGCTGAGAACACAGAGGAGCCAAGGACCTCGGACTCCCTCCGCACCATCAGCCCAGAAGAAACCCAAGTACAAGCGAGGAGAGGAGAAGCCTTGAGGAGCAGCCGCAAGGCAGGGCCAGGAGCGCCTGGCAGGCCAGTGGGACCCTTCCTCAGCCGGTATCTCAGGCCACCTCCTCCATGCAATCAGCCCATCTGCCCTCAGGCACCTACCTGCAGGGGTGTCCTAACAACAGTTCCCAAACTGCACATCCCATTCGAGGCTGGGAGAGGACATCTTCCACCCATTCCCCACAGCCACTTCGCAAGCTCAGAAAGCGCAGGCTCCAGGCCAGGCCAGTCGGAACCTTGAGGTGGGGACTCGCTCCCACCTCTCTACAGCCCCCAAGTTCTATTCACCCTGCAGGCTGCCCTGCAGTTAATGAAAGTAGTATCCTCTCTCCCTGTCTTTCCTGAAGCACGAGGGTCCCCTGGCCACAGAAAGCAGTATGAACCAGCCAGGAGGCCTGGGAGTCAGCAGGGAAGATAGGGAAGTGCCCCAGGGCACCCCAGGCAAAATAAGTCTTCCTGATGCTGTGTGTGTTCTGGCATGGCCATGTGTGTGTACACCTCCAAAGTCTGTGTGTATGTGCATCTTGGGGTGTGCAGCTGATGTAGATTTCACCTGGGAGTGCACACCCTTGAATCTATTCTGTATGTTGAGGCAGGAGAGGATATATGCCTGAGGGCATATTTGTGAGGAGTGCCTCTGCTCAGACAGGTGTGTACAGGCCCTGTGGCCACTGATAGACGTTAGCCCTGGGTAGGTGCGCAAGTTGAGCTGAGAGGTGAGGTTGGCTGCAGTGGGTCCCAAAGGCATGCTGTGGTTGTGATGTCTTCTGCTAGTCCCTCAGTCCTTGGGCAGCCACATGGGGGTGGGGGAAGGAAGCCCTGCCTCTGAGACCCCCAGAAGGAGTGCAGTGCTCACAGCTGCTCTCACCAGTGTAGAAGTAAGCCTGACCCTATCACGTGCCACATCTTAGTGTCACTGTTCCAGGGTGCTCAGAAGTGACCTCCCCTTCCCGGAAGGGCCATGAGCAACCCCAACAACACCTGGGTGGCAGAATTCATCTTGCTGGGCTTCCCCGAGCTGCACCACCTGCAAGGATTGCTGTTTGGGTCATTCCTTACCATCTATGTGATGACAGTCCTGGAGAACCTGGTCATCGTGGGCACCATCAGGGCCAGCCACCAACTGCACACACCTATGTACTTTTTCCTGGCCAACCTGTCAGTGCTGGAGACTTTCTACACCACAGTCACTGTCCCCAAGCTGCTGGTCAGTCTCCTGGCAGGAGTAGGGATCATCTCCTTCTCCGGCTGCCTCACCCAACTGTTCCTCTTCCTTTCACTAGGCTCCTCTGAGTGCTTTCTTCTGTCTACCATGGCCTGTGACCGGTACCTGGCCATCTGCCACCCACTACGCTACCCAGCCCTCATGGGCTGGAGGCTCTGCCTGTACCTGGCGCTCAGTGCCTGGCTTGGTGGCTTCCTGGCCTCCTTTGTGTCCATAACTCTCATCTCCCACCTCAGATTTTGTGGCCCCAATGTCCTCAATCACTTCTTTTGTGACATCTCACCCCTGCTGCAGCTGTCCTGTTCAGATACCACCACCATCGAAACACTGGACTTTGTGGCAGCCCTGGCTGTGCTTGCCACCTCCCTGCTGGTGACTGTGGTCTCCTATGCCCACATCCTGGCCACAGTGCTAAGGATTCCAGGGAGAGGCAGCCGCCAGAAGGCTTTCTCCACCTGCGCCTCGCACCTGGTGGTGGTTGTCATCTTCTACACCACCACCATCTTCATGTATGCCCGGCCTCACGCCATCAGCTCCTTCAACCTCAACAAGTTGGTGTCTGTGGTCTACTCGGTTGTCACTCCCCTGCTCAACCCCATAATCTATTGCCTGCGAAACCGTGACATTAGGGAGGCCCTGACCAAACTCCTCCAAGTCCCTGACCCCTCCTGAGGACCAGCAGCAGGATGCACTCTGGAACTGCTGACCACTCTGCCCTGCTTGCAGACACTGCCTCACCACCAAGACCAGGCCAGCTGTCTCAACTGGCAGCAGAACTTCCTTCCTCTCCTCCCCCATCCCACCCTGGATTATAGCTGCCCAGAACACAGTGGCCTCAAGTGGATATCTGAATGAGCACAGGAGGTGACTGAGACCTAAAGACTTATGTCCAGGCCCTGGACGCTGCTGCCCAGGAGATCAGCACTGAACAATGGACAGCTCCCAGTTCTCCAGGCTTTTCCCAGTGAGATCAGCACTGAACAGGGGACAGCTCCCAGTTCCCCAGGCTTCTTCCTGGGAGATCAGCACTGGAGCAGGAATGGCTCCCTAGCTCCCAAGACCTCTCCCAGCAAGATTAGCACCTTGGCAGCCACTCAGCCTGAAAAGCTCAGTGCAGAGTCACAGGTAGTCCCTTTCTAGTGCCATTCCCCTGACCACTGGGGTCTGGACTGCTTTGGTGGTAGCCAGCCCCCTCTCCCTCTCTTAAGCCCTGCATCCCTTACCCCCAAGCCTGCATGGATTGCCGTCTTCCCATGAGAACTTCAGAAGGCTCAGAGTGGGCACCAAGGATCCCCAGGCCGCAGGTCTCAGCAGCACCCCAACACACAGGTGACACCATTCCCCAGAAACAAGGGCATCCTCCTGCTTGATGCCTGGTAGGTTTTGTGACCAGGTAACATGCCCATGCCCGAGTTTTCTGCCCCCTTTCTTCTCAGGATCATGGAACTTGGTAAACCACTCACTCCCTGCCCAGTGCTGTCAGGGCAAGACCTCTTGCACTTGGTTTCCACTCCTGCCCCCATTTCCTTAGTAATGGCACCAGGAGGTGTGCCTTGTCAGTGTGTATATGTGACAGATGTATCCCGTGGTCTGTGTGAGAGTTAAATCTATGCAAAAGTTTTGTGCTATAAACATCATCTTTCTCATCATGTTGCTTTGTGCATTTTAAAGTATGTCAAAATGAATACAAATTTAGGGTCATTTTATCATCTTGGTCAATTTAACCTTTATCATTGGGAGGTACTACTCTGCCTCTAGACAGCTCCCTGCCTTAATGTTTAAGGCTTAAATTCTACTTTGTCTGACACTAATACAGTGACATCAGTTTCCTGTGGGCATTTTCCTGATACAGGAAACATTGCCTCTCAGCTCCTGGCTGCCTGCCATGCTTCTCCATGTGGCTCTGTTGAAGGCTCAGTGTCAGTCTTATTTTTATTTCTTGTGCAGGTGACTTGGGTTTCCTCTGCTTCTGGAAGCTTTAAGATATTTTTTCATTTTGACCTCCAGCGCCTCTCCTGGGCTGCTTCTCTGTTTCTGTTGCTCTTGGTTTGGATGCTTCCAAAGCTCATGATTTGCCCTCTTGTCCATTTTGGAAAGCATTTCCTTGAACTCTGCCTCTACCACATGCACTTTCTCCTCTCCCTCTGGTTCCAGAATCATGTACCAGACCTTTTCAGTGTCCCTCTGCTCCCGCCCTGATCCTATGCTCTCCTCTGGATATTTCTTCTGATCTTCCATCTCTCTAGCCATGTCCAGTCTTCTGTTTTCACTTCCAGAATTTTCATTTTGCCCTTTTTATGTTTTCTGAGTAAATAATATAAACTCAGTTTCTCCAGCTCCTGCTCAGTAGTCAACACAGAAGACTTCTGAGGCCAAGCAGGGGTCCCCACACACTCAGCAACAGTCTTGCAGCAGACACTGCTGGGTGTCCTCTATTCGGCTCAGTCCTACACTGTTCACCTGGAGGTAGCTCAGTTCCCCCCAGGACTCAGACTTGAGGACCTGACCACTTCCATGCCAGTTTTAATCCTTGGTTGTTTTATCTGCACTTCTGACAAACTGGCTATAAACTGGCATCCCACAACCCCTCGTCAGGTTGGATTATTTTATTAAAGGAGCTTACAGATCTCAGGAAACATTTGCTTACACATGCAACTTATGAAAAGGACTTCAGGGGATGCAGATGAGGAAATGTATGATCAAGGTATGGGAGAGCAGCTGGAAGGAATGGTCACCCATGCCCTAGTTCCCTGTGCTGGTCTGCCTGTCCCTTGCCCAGGATGCTTCCTCACCATGACTTTCCGTGATGCCTCAATATCTGATATAGTGAGTCCTCTTTGATCTTCTTTCTAAACATTATCTTAGTTATTTTAGGCCTTTGTGTTCTATCCAGAGTTTATGATCTCTTTGGTCTATATTAGTTTTAGTACCATAACAAAGGGCCACAAACAGCTTATACGATAGAAATTTAGCAGGAATGATTCATAATTTGGCAGGAATGGTTCCTTCTGAAGCCTATCTCTATGACTTGTGGACAGCACCTCCTCTCCTCCCTATGTCCTCATATGGTCATCCTTCTGTGCATGTCTGATCTCCCCTTCTTAATGATACCAGTCCTTTGGATCAGGGCAGCTCCTTATGACCCCAAATAAACTTAATTATTTCCTTAAAGGTCCTGTCTCCAAATACAGCCACCAAGGTTTGGGAGTCAGCATATGAATTTTACAGGGGTGCAGTTTAACCGACAGCGGGTTCCTTTAAAAATCATACCGAAATAATGCTCTTAATAAAAAAAAATGTGCAGGAATTTTTGTTGGTATTTCTTTGAATGAATTAACTTGTGGGTAGAGAATCATCACTTCCACAGTCCTGAGCTGTCCTATCCTCGTTCATGCCTCCATGCAAGCAGGTCTCCCTTTGTGTTCTCGAACAATGCCATCTGCATTGTGGAATGCTAATTGCACTTCTGACTGCTTTCTCATTCTGGGGAGAAAAGCTAGTGCATTTACTCAAGTCTAAGATGCAGTTTTGCTGACACAGAATATCCAGTTGATAACTACTTTAACAAGCAGAGTCAGGAGGCCAGGTATGCCCAGCACAGGGCGATGGAGCAGCCGCGACAAGTGGGGACCCAGATCTCCACCCACCACCCTCACTCTGCCAACAGCACCCTGTGGCCATCAGATGATGGCAGCACCCTGGGCACCATGTCCAGGCAGGACAGAAGGATACGGAAAGGTTGTTCAATCTCTGCACAGACCCTCTTCCTAGGGGGAACAGAGACCCCCTGGAATGCCCAGAGCCCTCTGCGTGGGTCTCAAGGGCCCTCCAGTGCTTTGTGGCCCCTATTGCAGGTGGGAAGTCAGCACCAGTGGGCAGCAGCAAGTGTCCTGCCACTGCTGACATCACCCACTCCAAACACTGCTGTCTTGTAGGTGGCCCTGCCAGTCCTGTCTCACACAAAAGTGGTGAAAGCAAGGCCATTCTCATTTGTGTTCCCAAAGGAGTGCATGTACAGCCCCACCACTGAGCAGGATGTTTGCTGTGGTTCTGAAACACAGCAGAGTAAAGAAAATTCATTTCCTTGACTCACTTTCTTGGCCTTTCTCCCCTCACCCCCACCACAAATGAGTGTTGGTTGAAATCCAATGCTTTGTCTTCCTCTTTTGAGAAAATTAAGAGAGTCTCTCCCTCTACCCACTGAGGAATGAAGTCGCTGGCATGTCTTGAGGCAAGACCTGAGTCCCACTGGATGCTGGCATGCCTTCTGCCGCACCACCATGCACATTTTGCTAGTATTCCATTAAGAACTTTCTTGTTCACACTCAAACATAAAGTAGTCCAAGTGTTTTCCTTGCCTCCCTACATATCCTGAGACCATCCTACAATCTTCAGATAAGAGGAGGTGAGAGGACCTCTCCCGCACATTTCCTGCTGGGTCACTAACCCTCCTGCCTCCATGTTCACCCTTGCACAACTGTCAGGGGTCAGAGCCCTCTCCTCTCATATTCTGTCTTTTGCCTGAGATTTCCTTAGCTTTATGACTCAATCCCTCTGTTCTCTTTTTTTTTTTCAACAAATTGAGATTGAAAAGTTTCTTTTATTCTTTGTTCACAGCAACCTATTCTTATTTTATAAATATTGTATCTGCCGGTCATTCTAAGCCTTTGAGGTTATGTATCCTTTAATGTCTGTTTTGAAGTTTCCCTCGGATTCCTCAAATTCTTATTCCACTGTTCCATCTCTTTATCTTAGTCTAGCTCCTGTGTGTTGCAGTGCTCTGTGAATGTCTGAGAGGTTCTGGTTGTCATTTATGCTGTTGCCATAAAGCTGTGGGAGGCTTCCTGGGAACTCTATGTACTTGAGTGGGGCCCTTAGAATGAAGGGCAGGGAGCCAGGCACCGGGCTGGGCTCCTCCTCATTGCAGGTGACAGAAACCCAAATCTAACTGGCTTCAATGGGAAGAGAAGTTTCCCTCACTAACCTGGATCTGCTGGGGCAAATAAAACTGGGTCACCTTGACCAGCTCCCTTCCTCTGCCCCATCTGTAATAGGCTCCACTTCAGCTTCTGTGGGGCTCCTAGAACTCAGGCTGCAGACCCTGTGGCCAGGAAACTGCATGCTTTTTGGAGCAGAGGTCATATGCCCCTCCGAGGGCCAGGGAGGGCACAGCAACAGACAGACCCCATGGCTGGCTCCCCAGGAGAGCACTCCCAGAAGTGGTCCCGGAGCCAGGCCTGGCAAGTTCATCTAGTGCCATCAGGATACTCCCGGTGGAGCACAGGGTACCTGGCAGCATTTTCAGTGGCACTGCAAGAACAACAGGATGACCATGAGTCCCAAATTATGGTCAGGGGCACATCCCAGTGCCCATGAGCAAGTCTCACAGACCTGGGAAGGGAGCCTGTTGCTGGTGGGACTCAGAAAGTTGGGACCCTGGGCAGGCATCCCCTCCTCTCCTCCTGGCACATTTTTGTGGCCCCTGTGGCTGGGATGTCCACTCAGGTGGGGATGATAATGTGGAAGACCGGAAGGAGGAGCGTGGATGGGCTGGGGAGAGGCCCTGGGGAATGGGAATGGACGAAGTGGGCAGGAGGGGAGGGCACAGAGGGAGGGGGCTGGTGTGTTCCGCTGGGTAAGACGCAATCAGAGACGCCTGGGTGATGGGGACCAGAGGGTCTTTAGTGGGCAAGTGAGGAGCTGGGGGGGGAGGCGGGGAGGAGAAGGAAGGAGGAGGGGGCGCGGCGACAATGGGGGCCGGACAACAAGAGGGGCTGCGCCCTCCTCCGAGCCTGCCTTATCTCCTCCCTTCCCCTCCGGTCTCCCGGGGCTGAGCCGCCGCCGCCACTGCCGCCCTCAGTCCTCGCTGAGGCCTCGGCAGCATCCAGCCGCGCCGGGTTGGCAGAGGGTCTTCGCCCCGGCCCCGGAGCAGCATCTGGGCAGAAGTTCCGACCCAGGCCCGCAGCGGGTAAGTCCGAGCGGGGGGTCCGGGAGCGGACCGGAGAGGCTGGGGTGGGGGCGATTGCGCGGTCCTGGAGAGGATGGAAACGCCGCCCAGACCCTCGGTGCAGAGCTGGGTGGGCCCATCCTTGTCCGGTTCCCCTCCCCCACTGCTGGGCCTCGGCCTGGAAGGGTGGGGCGCGGGGCGGGGACAGGAAGGGAAATTTCTGGGGTCGGGCCTTCCCGGGCGGAGTCCAAGCGGTGTTACCAACCCCGCACCCATTTCGCCGCGGCCACTGGCTCTAAGGCTCCGGAGATCCGAGATCGGGGATGCCAGGTCGGGTCACGGGCATGTGACCCTGAGCTGAGTGTTTGGCATCCTTCAGTCACGACCCCCTCCAACACCCCCAACATGGCTGCCCCTACCGCTAGGCCTGAGCACCCCCACCACAGGCGCTCAGCACCCCCCAATTCTGGGCCCCAGGCACATAACAGTCCTGCCGTGTTAATCCCTCCCAGCCCACCCCATACCCTTCCCAGTTGGTGAACAGGACCCCAAGCCCCTACCCCAGGCCTGAACACACACACACAGCCCAGTCCAGCCTCACCACAAGTGGTAAGCTCCCAGATCTTCACAAAAGCAGCTCAATCTGTCCTCAGGCTCTGAGCCCCTGTCCCCAGGACCTGAGCCACTTCACCACTGTCAGCAAGCCCTGAATCCCCTAACCCCATCCTGGTCCCTAGATCACAAACCTCTGTTGCCTCAGGCCCTGAATCCCCTCACCCAACAGCCTGGTCCCCAGGTCCTGACCTATATCTCCTCAGAACCTGAGCCTCCCAAGTCTCCAAGTTCTCATGTTCCTGTATCCAGACCCCGAGCCCACTGGTCCCAGACCCTAATTCCAGACCCTGTGCCCAGGCCCTAAATTCCCTGTCACCTCATCTCTGCCCCATGCCCTTGTGCCCCTTCTCGCAGAAGCTGAAGTCCCTTCTGCTTCCTTTCTGCAGTTTTGCCAATGAAGATGAACTGGACAGCTGCAACTTGCTGGGCTCTGCTACTGGCTGCAGCTTTCCTCTGCGACAGCGGTGCAGCCAAAGGTGGCCGTGGAGGAGCCCGGGGCAGCGCCCGCGGAGGCCTGCGAGGTGGAGCACGCGGGGCCTCAAGGGTGCGCGTGAGGCCTGCCCCCCGCTACAGCGGAGCAGGCTCAACTCTGCGCGTGGCAGCAGCAGGGGCTGCAGCAGGGGCTGCGGCGGGGGCAGCTGCCAGCTTGGCTGGGGGCCCAGGCTGGAGAAGGGCCACAGGGCCAAAGGAGGGTGGCCGGGAGGACGACGAGGACTGGGCACCAGGCGGCAACGGGACAGGCAGGGGTGTGTACAGCTACTGGACCTGGACTTCTGGTGCAGAGTCCTCCCACCACCTGTGCCTCTGCCTGCTGCTGGGTGGTGCCCTTGGAGCCCTGGGCACCCTGGGGCTGCTACAGCCCTAGGCACAGCTGGGCTTGGGATCCATATCCTGGCCCCCAGCCCAGCCTTCTCCATAGGCCCCTCAGGCTGTCCCAGAGGCCAACAGCATTTGAACACTTCTTCCCTCCACTGCCCACAGTCCTCAGGCCCTGGAGGACCCCACCCTCCATCTAAGACTGTCCCAGCCTCCCCATCTCCCCACCCTACCATGGAATCAGCAGCACCCCCAGCTCCAGGATGTCAGGGTCCCCTGAGAGAGGCAATTAGCTGTGGCTCCTGCTCAGGCCTGCAGGCTGGGAGGTGTCAAGACCAGGCATTCAGGCCACTCCTGCTCCCTGGCCTTCCCTGGACAGAAGAGTGTAGACAGTGTTGACCAACCAGGCAGAGGCCACCTTCAGAAAGGTTCCACTCTGCCACTGAAGCCCTGAGGATCGAGGACCAAGGGCTTCCCACCAGAGCAGCTGGAATGGACTTCCCACAGCAGCAGAATATCAGTGAGTGAGGAACACTCAACTAGGCTGCAGTGAGAAACGTCAGGTGCTAACCACTTGCCTAGGGCAGGTCCTGAGGATTTCACAGCACAGTAATGTTTTGGGGAGGAAAGCCATCCATTCCAGAAGATGCCCACTGTGGTTCTCAGAGCTCCCAGCAGAACATGCCCTGGGAGGCCACGGCAGCATCCCTCTCTGCCTGGCAGACTTCCCACAAAACCCTCTGCCAGGTGATGGTCTCCACCTTAGAGCCAGTGGGCCCCAAGGACCATTTAACTCATCTTGAGACCCATTCTGGGGAAAAACCCACATTCAAGAGAATTCCATTTTCTTGTAATTTAAGTTCCCATCCAGTGATCACTCAGGGGACAGCAGCTGCCAATCCCACTATAGAGTCCCCCTGTGCTGTAAGTGGTCCTACACTTCTGGTGAGCAGCAGCATCTCCAACTGGGCAGTCCCTCCCTCAGAGCAGATGGACCAGGTGGAAGCAGAGGGTCCTCAGTAAGGTTGTGGCACAGTGGCTGAGGACAGACAGGAGAGACCATGGTTCATCAGACCCAGGGCCACCTGCAGGTCTTTGGAGGAAGGCTGACCAAAGCAGTGGGGCCAAGGCTCCAGCAGGTATAGTCAGACAAGAGCAAGCCTGGGCTCAGGACAGAAAGTTGAGCTCCTTACTCCACCAAGGGCTATCTAAACATGGACATCTTGAGGGGAGGGGTACCCAGAACAGCCTCAAGATGCTGGCAGTCCTTACAAGGATTGCCTCCAACTCCCAAACACCTCATGCATAGACTGGCCCCTTGTGTCTCCAGGGCCCACCAGCGTAGTGCCCATGAGCCCAGTTCAGGGGTTCCCAGCTCTGCCAAGATGTCTATCTCTAAGCACCTGAGGCCATCTCCTAGGTGCTCTTGTGAGACCTTCACCCACAGACAATCTCTTTCCAGGACTTGCCCTCACCCTCGGGACCAAAAAGCCTTTGGGCTTAGCCAGAACAATGCTGAAACCAGCATCTCTCCATCCAGCACAAGGCTCTGGTTTGGGGATAGGTTTTAAGGCTACTCTCAAGACCTGGGCCAAGCAGTCACAGGACACTACTCCTTGCATCCTGTCATCCACACTGCCATTGCTCAGGGCACAGCCAGCCCCGATGCTCCTCCATACCTTCCAAACCAAGCTGGATGCCACCTAAGACCAGCAAGCCAAGGCCAAGCCCGCCGATCTCTCAAAAGCAGATGAGATCCTTCCATCATCCAGTTTGGTACAGGGAGACCCACCAAAGCCCTCTTGGCTTCTCAGATGCCTCCCTGATGGGCTGCACTGGATCAGACCCTTGCACACCACAGCGCACGAGTGTCAAAAGGTTCCAGAGGCAACGAAAACATTTTTCAATGCTTGCTTCACACCAGCCTCACCTCAAGTGTGTTTAGCTTTTCGCACAGCCAAGGGCCCTTGAATACCTCCTCAGAAAGACACAGACAATGCTAAGAAGGCACCCTCAGAATGGGTCGATCATGCGGCAGTTGCAGTGGGAGGCACTACTGGAAGACCAGCCGTTGGGAGCAGCTGCCCACAGCATGGAGAGAGTCAGCTGAGCATCAGAGACTGGCAGATGCTCAGGCAGCTGTGGGAAAGCTAGGCCACCACCAGACAATGAGGTCAGAGCTATTCACCAGGTCCAGGCTCACCAGCACCTCCCGTCTGCGCTAACCCAACCACCCTGCCTTCTAGAATGCAGGCTGCTGACAGCAACATTCCCTACACAACACTGGGATGGGTCCTCGGCACCTCCTCTGGGCCCCCCTGAAGCAGAGGGCCACTGTCCCATTGGCTAGGAGGTGGTCTGGGTCCCCCTGAAGCACAGGGCCACTGTCCCCTTGGCTAGGAGTTGGCCATCCATGACTCTCTGGCCTGTTGTACAGCTGAGCCATGGGCCTGTGGCCTCCTGAAAGCGGAGCACTGAGGGGGAGGAAATCCTTGGGTTCCACTACTCTGAACCTCCATCCATGTTTATGTATTCATTTAATAACAAAGTTAACCAAAATAAACCCCTGCACTGGGAATAAGACTCTTGGTCACTGCAGGGCCATAGGACATCGAGAGCCCCATTCCTGACTTGCCTGTTCCAGCTTTCACTGGTGAGAGGGACTTCAATATGTGGGCCCAAGGTAGCATGGGTGTGCAATGAAAGAGCCAGAAGAGAGAGATCTTTTCATCCAGAACTCCAAACATTACAGATTACAGTTTTAGCTCCTCGAGACAGCATTAGCCTCTCCCTAGAGACACTAAACAGGAACCGCCTCACCAGGCCAGTCACGCAGGCCTGCTCCATCGGGCTGGCCAGGCCACAGTGAGTGGGAAAGTGGGGCCCTGAATCAAAGGGACCAGCGTGGTTGCTTCTGGAAAAAAGTGGGAAGTTGTAAGCCTCAAACGCTCTGTCCACATGAGGTCCGGGAAGCCATCTGCCACGCAGTAGGCGCCGAGTCTGTGTCGGCAGGGGGGCAGTCCTGCAGAACATCACGGTCCAGCATCACTGGGCCAAACAGCCCACTGCGGAAGGTCCGGAGGAAGTCGTGGGCTGCCGCAGAGTAGTTGGGCTGGACGACATTCACATCCCCTAGAGACAGTGGGTCTGATGAGAAAGGGTCCTCCAAGAAGGGTAGCCCAGCCCCAAGACAGTCACATTGGGCATCAGTGAGTAAAGCTCAGGCCAGGCCTGTTCATAGAGAAGAGCATAATGTCCACTCAGCACCACCCAAGGACAGGGGACAGGGCCAGTCCCACACTCTGGAGCCTGGACTACAAGCTCCTTTCTCTCTAGATACTTCAATAGCTCCTCTGCCCAATCCCCAACCCCAGGACAGCACCACCGCCCATGCATGTTCCAACCCCCACGCCTCCCTCCTCCTGCCCTCCTCTAGGGACAGCCAGGGAACACACAGACCCTGAGTGGCACAGCACAGCCTCACTCACCGGTGCCTGTAAGCACTTTCACCTTCCGGGTCTTCCGCAGCCGCAAGGCCACTCTCTTCAGCACATGCTCAATGTCGTCAGAGGCGCCGTCCAGGCCATAGTGCTGCACGTACCTACACACAGGCCACAGCCACATCAGACCTTGGGGGCCTGCTGACCACACCCCAGAGCAGCCAGTGGCCAAGCTCCTGAGCATCCCAGGACGAGGCTCAAGAATTCCTTCAGGAAAGAAAGATCCATGGCCCAACAAGGTGAGATCCAAAGTCTGGTACCTAATAACACTGACCAGCCTGCAAAGCAAGTCAGATCCCAAATGAGAGAAAAATTGAAGTGGACCCAGAAGTGGCAGGTATCAGAATGTACAGACTCACATTCACTGCCATGTGGTTACAAGAGCTGAGGAACAGATGATGAGAGAAGGCAGGACCTGAGAAGCAATGAGATAGGACGAACAGCAGACCAGACACCACAGAAGACAGTGACCAAAACCCAGCGAGGACCCAGACAGGACCCAGCATCTCAGAGCAAGCAGCACACAGGCCAAGTGCCCAGCAGCTGGCACCCAAGCCCTGGTGAGCAGGAAGAAGGTAAAAGAAACACCGAAGAAATAACACTGGAAATTAGCCAAGTGAAACAAACACATGAAGTCACAGACCGGAAACCAACACACTAAAGCACAGAAACACGAAGAAGAGCACAGCAGGGCCCACATAACTGCTCAAGGAGTGACCAGGAGAAGTCACTCAAAGCAGCCAGAGGAATATGAAGACAAAGAACAGGAGGGCAGGAAGCAGACCCCTCACCAGAGGAAAACCAGCACGACGCTGGGCCACCCTTCCCACCAAAAATCTGCCCACAGGGAAAGCATCTCCCTGTGAGGTGAAAGGAGAAGGACAACGGGAGCTAAAAGGACACACCTCAGCAGACCCCTGCCCTGAGAGAGGGGGCAGGCAGACCTACCCCACAGAGGGAGGGGCCAGGCAGACCTGCCCCACAGTAAAGATTGAGGAAAATCCTTCACACACAGTGAAAGACCAGATGAACTCAAGAAACAAGCAGCACCTTGAACAGCAATGTGCTAGGTAAGCATATAACGTGCTCTTCTTACAGTCTGAGTCTCCTTAAAAGGTGACTGTTTATGCAAACAGAAGAGAAGGGAAGTGTGTGCAGGACTTATCCAACATGCAATGGTGGAATGTGTGATAACAGTGGCAAGCTCATCAGGTGAGGAAAAGGGCCTGCCTGAGTGCTGCAGGTGACTCTTGTGACTCCTGAGACTCCTGCAAACCTGAAGCATAAGACCACAGGCACCAGACTAACAAAGGAGATGGAGCTGGATGTCAAGAGGCAGAAAAGGGAGAGAAGACACAAAACTCACGGGACAACTAGAAAACCAACAGCATAACACATTCAAACCATCAACGATGACACAAAACGTAAATAGTCTAAATATCTAATAGGAAAGGTAGAGACCGCCACATTGGATAAAAACAAGGCCAAACTCTACGCAGCCTATAAGAAATGCACTTTTACTATAAAGACAAATGCACAAAGTAGAACGGTGGGCAAGGATATACCATGATAATACCAATCAAAAGAACCTAGCATTCTGTGCTGTGGACAAGGGGCCCAGAACAGAGAGCTCTCTGAAGATGAAGAAGCACTTCACAACACCCTGCACACTACTGCACCTACAACAGAGCCTCAAAATGCACAGTGCCAGTGCAAGAGGACGCCCAGGGAAGCAGACTGGTGTGTGAGGGGTGAAGACTTTAATGCCCTTCTCAACAATCAGCAGTACAGATGGAAGGAAAATCAGCAAAGTATAAATGAAGAAACAACAAAGACTGAAATCAGTGAAGTAAAAAACAGAAAGATAACAGAGAATGTCAATGAAACCAAAAGCTGACTCTCTGGAGATTAAATAAAAGTAAATCTCTGGCCAAGATCTGCAAACAACATGGTGTCCACCCACAGGTGACTGGATAAACGTACTGCAATGTCTGAACACTGAGCACCACTTAGCAGGTCACACAAAGATAAATTTCAAACAAGCCAATTGAAAGAAAGGCATCTCTTTTGTTTGTGCAAAATTCTAGAAAATTTATATCTAGTGACAGACAGCAGAGGGCTGCCTGGGCACAGAGGTCAGGAAGGGAAGACTACAAAGCACAATGGGCAATGGGAGTGCCCGTTTTCTTGATTATCGGATGGTCTCAGGTGCATTCATGTCAGACTTACCCAATTTTTAACAATGTGCAGATTATCACGTCTACAATACCTGTGTGCTGTGTCTAGAGCCTCACCTGGCCAGGACAAGCAAGCAGGGGCTGCCCACCCTGCCCTGCCCTCACTGCCACTCACCCAAACAGCTGGTGTCGGTTAAGAGTGTAGAGGAGGTAGTCGGCCATGGTCTCCTCCCCGACCAGGTGGTCCAGCACGGTTCCTGGAAGATGGCAGCAAAGGTGAGCACATCCAACAGCTGGCATGTGTCCCCAACAAGCTTGCGCCCCTCGCAGTCTCAGCTGCTACAGAGACTCTCCACAGAACACAGCTGTCATCCTGACCTTCCTCCCACTTGGCTAAGCCTTTGCTATAAGGTCTGACTGCCCACATCTGTCAAATGGGAGAGTGAAAGTCACTCTCACAGGGCAGGGTCAGATAGCAACCAGCATGCTTTGCGAAGCATCTAGTAGCAGCCAGGGCAAAAGTGGAACAACTACTCCTGCTGAAGGTCTGTGCCAAGGTCAGCGCTGGGCACTCGAGGTAGGAGGGAGAGCACCAGGCTTAGCTCACCACACAGGGCCAGCTTCAGGCCCGTCTCCACACTTCCAATCTGAGGAGCTAGCACCCCAGGGGTGTCCATCAGGAATATCAGAGGCCGTTCACACACCTATGTAGACAGAGTTCACAGTGAGGCCCCCACAGCAGCCTCCTGATGGGCTGGCCCCACACACTAGGCCTCAGAGGCTCCACGGGAGGGCCCAGGAGCAAACCCACCCCCAAAGGGTCATCATTTTCACCAAGCACAGGGGTGGCCAGAGGTTTTAATTCACCCAATTTGGAGAATAAATAAGAGCACTAGGTCCCATGGAGACCAAAAGGGAATGTGTAGAAAGTGGGCTCTGCCCTTTCCTGACAGTGGGGTGCCCTGGCGGCTGGGCAACAGGACAGGGCAGTGCCTGGCACAGGTGAGTACCCGGTGGAGATGCAGTGGAGTGTGGGAAAGGACGGTCATGGGCAGGGCCAACAAGGTTGCTCAGCAGCACCAGGCAAGCACCTGTGCCTGGCCACAGAGGACCCACCTGGACTCTGGACATCACAGCTCTGGTGATCCCAGGCTCACCACCCACCCTGGCAGCTTTTCCTGTAAGACAGAAGGGGGCTCTCGTGTGTTCAAGACACACAACTACAGAACGCGCGGTCAGGCACACATGTAACTAACCCATTTGACAAGCAGAATGAAAACCCCAAAGGCCAAACAAGCTTCCCAGGGCTATGATTACCCACATTTAGCCCCAACAGCTCACGCAGGGCCTCTTTTTAAAAGCCAGATGCAGGGGCCACAAGGCTTGACAAATGCCCAGGACTCATTCCCCAGAGCTGGGAAGGCCCACAACAGCAAGACCTGAGCTGTCCCTCATCATGCCCCACCCTCCTGGACTTGCCCACCTCCCAACAGCCCGCAGCAAGCCTGACCAGCCTGCCCAGACTGTGAATGCCAAGGCCACTGCACAGGTCCCAGCTGAGGGCACGCCCCAAGGACTGCTCTACCCACTGCCAAACCAACTCAGGAGTCAGAGGAGCAAGAATCCAAATAAGCTTTGGCGGAGACACAGCAGAGGACGCGGAGCCCCAGGAAGAAAGAGTTCCGACGGGAGCTCCAACACAGGGCACACGGGCACTGCACTGCTGGTCGCATGAGCCAGTCAGAGGAGGGCTGCACTGCCACAGACTGGTCAGACACAGACCAGGGCTGCGGGGGTGGGGGACCAGGAGCTGTCTTGCTGTAAGTCTGGGGACAGTGAGGATAGCTGAACAGCACTAAGAACACACTTAATGCCACTGACCACAAAAGGACAGAGGAAAATACACAGATGACTGGCCAGGCATGGTGGCACAAGCCTGTCATCCCAGCAACTCAAGAGGCTAAGGCAGGAAGATTGTAAATTCAAGGCCAGTCTCTGTAACTTAGCAAGGCCCTAAGCAACGTAGCAAGACCCTGTCTTAAAACAGAAAATAAAAAAAAGGCTGAGGGATGGGATGTAGCTCAGTTGAGAGAGTGCTTGCCTCACATGCATAAACCCCTGAGTTCAATCCCCAGCACCAAAAACAAAAAAAAAAGAATAAAGATGTGGCTCAGTGGTAAAGTGCCCCAGTGCACCCCTCCCTGAAAAAAAAAAAAAAAAAAACAGATAACTAAGAACTCTCCAATTAATGCCAAAAATACTCTCTGGAATAATGGTTCAGCATGGCTTAAAGCTCTCAGATTTTACATTGTGAATAGATTTGTTAATAAACACTGTAATACTAACATGAACAACAAAATCAATGCAGTTAGATCCAGCATTAAACTTTAAAATGGTCAGTCAAGGCACTGTGAATGAGCGCAGCAGGCCACATTTCTATCAAACATGAGGGTGAGCAGGAGACCAGTGCTGAGGGCTCAGGTTTCCAAATTAAGTCCAGGAAACCTGGGATGAGAACACCCCCCGCACCCTCTACCCTACAGCAAGTGGAATTATCTGCACCAAAGGGGTTTGAACAAATGAAAAACAAAAACCACCGAGTTTAGAGAACCATCCCACATGAAAGCCATTAGAAAACAAATCCAGTGTAAAATCCAGTGCAACAAACAGCTGTCCCCCACACTGCCCTCTCCGTTGCTGTCCAGGCGGAAGAGCCCACGGATGCAGAAGGGCCAATTCAGCAGCAGAGGGTGCAGGCTCACCTGTCCTGAGGTGCTGTCTCCTCAGGGAGTTGATGAGGGAGGACTTGCCCACGTTGGGAACACCAACCACCAGGATGCAGTAGTCCAGGTTCTACAGGGGCAGGGAAGACCCTCAGCCCCATCCTGCCCAGGCCGTGGACTCTCAGCCCAGGAAGGAGGTCAGGCAGAGACCTACCACCTGATGGGCCACCCAGCCCTGCTGGCTGAAGAGACCCAGGAGAAGGGCCAAGCCTCCTGCTAGGGCACTCCCCGTCCTCTCACAGGCAGGAAAGGGCTGGCCCACTACCAGCTCTGGGCCCCACTAACCAACCTCTGATCGGTGGTAGCGGTAGCTGCTCCCAACCAGTTCTATGACCTTTGGGATTATCTGAAACAAAAAGCCATTCATTTCAGCCTGACATCCCCTAATGCACTCCCCATGCAGCCACCTCCACACACCAGCATCAGGGACCCTCTCCCTGCCACTCATCAGGAGACACGGACCTCACACACAGACTGCAGCAGCTGACAGGGAGGCCTGACCTGCCTGAATTTCTGAAGGTAGTACTCTCAAGTGCCCAGATCCCAGACCCAGAGGCAGACTGTCCCCACCCCTACACTAGGGAGGAGTAGGTGGCTCCCCAGGGGGCTTCTAGGACAGCTATACTCTGGCTGACTGCCCACATCCCTGGAAAGCAGAAGCCAACCCCAGGATCTTCCCCAAAAACTGCTTCTTATAAAATAATGTTATAAAGCAGAAACATGTGAGCAGAAAAAGGCCTACCTGCTTGATGTTCTCATCCTTTATGCAGTTTGTAAAAATGACATGTTTTAGGCCTTCTCCTTCTAAGTGCTGCTGAATTTTCTGAAAGAGATATTGCCATTTTATATATTAAATGCAAATATGGGTGGCACGGCACAATCAAACTCCAGGACTGAGCTCCAAGGAACAGTTGGCCAGGAGCACCGTTGCTCAGAGCCACCTGAGCTCTGCAGGCCACTGGGGTGTGCCAGTCACCTAGGAAAATGAAGGCACTGCTGCTGCTGCAGCAAGGAAATTTCCATGCTACTAGCAACTTTTTAAAAATTGCCTTGAATTTAAGACCGTGACACCACTTAGCAAAGGTCTCGACCACAGAGCAAGAAAAGCAGAAGCAACACCTCCAATAACATTTCCAGCCTCCACATTTCCTGGTCACACAGAAAGTACCCTCCTACCTGTGCCCAATTCGGCTTGGCTCTGGAGAAACCGGGCCTCCCACACCTCCCCCAGCCCTTCCAGTTTCCGGATCACTGTGTGTGCTGAAGGCAACCAACCATAGAAAACCTAGGGTCAGGTTGGTGAGTGCGGACACCTGGGGGTGCCGCAGCCATCACAGACCTCCAGACTAGACTAGCGATGTCCAGAGCTGCAGGCATTGGCCTCATGCAGCTTCTCAAACTTAGAACTAGGTAAGATGTGAAAGTCAGTTCCTCAGCTACAGTGATCACTGTTGGCCAGAGGCCACCACGTGGGGCAAAGCAGACACAGCATTCATGGTTTCAGAAGGGCCTAAGGGAAGGCTCAGCTGTGGCAGCCTCCAGTGGCACACTGCCACCTCCTGGGGAAATGGTGTCCATTCTGAGCATTTGCAAGTAGACATCCAAGATCAGGATGCCAAGCACACTGTGCTGGGCAGCACTGGTCTCCGTGATGGCTGCAATGCCCCCAGACATCCATGCTCACCAGCCTGAACCCAGGTTTTCTGCTGCCAGCTGCCTTCTGTACACCCTGTGATCTAGAGGGTAGAAGGACTGGGGGTGGGGAAGGCAGGCCCAAAGTAGCTAACAGATTTCTCCAGAGCTAAGCAGAATGGGGACAGAAGGCCCAAGGGAAAAGGAAACATGGAGACTGGAAATATTACTGGAGGTGGTGCCTCTGCTTTTCTTGTTCTGTTGTCAAGTCCTCCTGAAAAGCAGAGATGTGGGCTGGGTTGTGGCTCAGCGGTAGAGCGCTCGCCTAGGACACGGGAGGCCCTGAGCTCAATCCTCAGCACCACGTAAAAATAAATAAATAAAATCAAGGTATTGTATCCAACTGAAAAAAAAAAGCAGAGCTGTTTCTGAAGCAGAACCCGCCTAGAGAGATAACACTGAGCCTGGCTGATTCTGAGTCTGTCCAGCAACATCTGTGTCATGCTCTGCAGGCATCTTTTGGAAAGGCCCTCACCCGCTGCTCTGTGAGGTCTGCCAAGTCCATCTTATTGAGGACCAGCAAGTGAGGCTTTAGTCCAAGGGTCTCCTGAAACAGAGGGTTGCGGCCTGAAAGTGGGATGTGGCAACATTAAGGCAAAATTTCCTCAAAGCTTTACCAGCCCATCAACCTACTTTACCTTATCTACCTCCTGTCAGTAAGAGCTGAAGGCAGAGGACAAAGCCCTAACTCAGATCAGGAGCCAGCCCAGTCCACTGTCCTACCCTAGCGGCTGCCAAGCCAACTCAGATTCTGCCCTTCAGGCTGAGGACAGGGTGCACCTCCTGCAGTAGCCAGGACAGGCAGTCAGCAAGGCAATGGCTTCACTCAGCTTCCCAAATGGGAAACCAGTTCAGAGGGAGGTTTTATAAGCAAGTTACTATTTAGCTGCCAAAGCACCTGGGCTCAAAACAATGACCTGATCACTCAGGGGGAACCTCCCAGAGAATACCTCAAAGTACCACCCACCTATGGCCACCAAGGACTTGGGGGTCGCTGCCACCCTACAGGTGGGTAGGCCTCCTCCCAGAGATCCCCAAGGAAGATGCTGCCTTCTCAGTACTGCCCTCAGCCAGGGACTCTGGGACTGAACGTGAGGCTAACACAGGCAGGCAGCAGCTTCTTCCCTTCACTGTGTAGAGACCCCTGGCTCTCCTAGTACTTGTCTCTCCCAGGGAGTCTAGCTTTGAGAGTCCAGAGGCCTCTGACATGCCCTAGTGAGGCTTACACTCTAACCGCTACCTGCCACACAAAGGGACCCTCCCTCAGTGCTGACCAAGTCTCTGCTCATTCAGTCATCCACCAGCCTCCAGCACTCTCTCCCAGGATGTTACTATCCAATACCAGTTCCCTGCCATATCCTAGATAAAGTAGAATGTTCTAGAGATGAAAGGTGGAAAAAAGTCCTCTCATCACACACACTAAATAATGACTACGGGTTTTATTCATTTTTTAAATGATCAGACATAAGAACAGGAATGTAGCCCATTACAGCACTTGCCTAGCATGTGTGAGGCCCTGGGTTCAATCTCCAATACTGAAAAAAGGTAAAAGTTATAAAGTTTAAAGAATAATCAGACATATAATTGCCAGTAAACACCTTTGACCAGCCTGTCAGTAAATTGATTTATATTTACAGCCCAATGCAAAAATTCCTGCTATTTTGTTACTTAAGTTCCAACCAGCCTTTGAGCCCTGAAAATGGTCATCCTCCACTTCTACTTCCAGAGACTCCAGGCAGTGGAGGCAGGCACACGTTTGCACTTGGCTATTCCTGGGTGGTCCACAGGGACAGGCCTATGGGGCTGGCATCCCCAGCTTTTCTGGGGTTACACAGGCAGGTTGGTGACAGCTGGCAAACACCACCACAGGAGAATCTCCACACTTTTTTCAAAAGTGAGAAAACCAGGTCTGAGCAGTACAAATTAATGAGCACAATCACCATGTCTTGTCAATGATTCACTCAGGTAAGAGGAAAACCCAGGTTGGCAGGAACCTTTAATCTCAGCTTTCATACCCTATCTAGAAATTTCCATGCGGGGTACCCTGGAAAGCCTGAGTGGCCCATTCAGACACCAACACCACAGGTGTGGAGCTTCGGAACACATGTGGCCTGGACCCCGCAACACAGACTATGATCTGAAAGGGGGCCTAGCAACCAGCGTGTTTAAAAGCCTCCGGGTAATTCTAACATATAAGAAGGTGGAAAAGCGCTGATTTAAATGACAGTAAGGACAAGTCAGGCGGCTGGCTGCTGCAGGCAGCTGACCGGATGAGGGCCAGGGCCAGGCAAAGGTGGGCGGAGACCAGTACTGCCTGCTTGCTGTCTCATGCACAGTCTGGCTCAGGAAAGGGGCCCCTCCTGCGCGGCGAAAGGATATGCGGGCGTCATGGACCTCGATGACACAGTCCACCAGTTTCAGACTGCTCTGCATCTTCTTCAGCCCTGCAAAACACAAGAGCACTAAGGGAGGGGCCCGTGAGCTTCCGGAGGGGCAGAGTTTTAGTTGGCCTGTCAGGGAGGACACCACCGAGTGAACGCCCTTGGTGGAGACAGGTCCCCACAAGGTCCCTCAGCCGGCCGCACAGGGCCAAACTTGGTGTACAATTGGAGACTCCGAGGCGGGGCAAACGACCACAGAAGAGCGACATCGCTGCAAGACCGCAGCGGGAAGCCCTGCGCCTGGAGCGGCCCCGCTGCTCTCCCGCGCCGAGCGGCTCCCGGACAGCGCGCCTCCCGCCGGACCTCACCCTTGGCCATGTGGCCCGGGAACCAGCGTGCCACGTCGCGGCCCTGCAGGGGGAAGCACTCGCGCCAGGCGGCTCCGGCGGCGCGCAGCGCGACCGCGGACAGCCGCATGGCATCGCGTCCCGGAAGCGCTCTCGGTGCACAGCCTCGCCCGGCCCGCGACCCTGCCACAGCCGCGCTTCCGGCGCTCCAGGGTGCAGCCGCGCGGTTACGCATGCGCACACCACTGTCCTGGCCGTGAGGAAGCCAGTACAGGCGGGCCCCCTTAGCGGGGCGGGGCGGGGCGGGGCAGTTCTCGCTCAGGTTCTGGGTTTTGTGGGATTTTTCTTAAGCAATTAAGGCACGTATTAACCCTAGTTAGATTTAAAAAGTCCCAGAGATTGGGATTCATCTCAGCGGTGAAGCTCTTGCCTGGCATGCTCAAGGCCCCGAGTTCTATCACCAGCACCGCAGAAAATAAAATTAAAAACTGAAAAATCCCAGTTGCCCCTTAAGCATATTCTGAGTATATATAGCAAAACTTCGTGTCAATGTTTGGCCCCTTCTTACAGACTTGTTTTAAAACGCTATCATACTTTAAACTTACCTTATACACTTAAACAGCTCCACTTCTTTTTCAAGTCCTCCAAGTTTAGTGTAACAATGCTTCCAAACGCTGATCGCAACGTTTAATAATACAATGAGACTGCAGTGCTCCTCCAGGCTGCAGGACAAGATGAGCCTGCCCAGGCTGCCCCCAGGCCAAACCACTCACCCCAAAAGGGCTACAAGAGCCTCCCTCCAATGGCATCATTGAAACAATGTCCTAAACACTACACATGCTCAGATTTCCATGTTATGATGTCATGATGCTTAACCTCTAACACTGAGCTCCCAACGCTCCTGGATTGGATCTGGGTCCCCACAGTACACTGCAGAGCCCTTCCCAATGAGGCATTCAGAGCCTCTCTTTCCTACAAAGAGGGGGCAGCCTAGGTCTGTGAAAACAGGAATGTTTCCTCAAGGCATGTGAATTGATGAAACTTCAAAATCAACAATGAAGATCTTTGCCCTTGAAGAAAGCTGCACTTTCATATCCTGGGACCATAAACTATAACAAAGCGTTGTTGAATGTTTCCCACACCAGTCTGATTGGCAGGTGCCTCATGCAGCACAAGGCAGCAAGGACTCTACAAAGCACTGGATATGACATGCTATGGGGGGAGCCTGAGTAGTCTCTGGGCCATCTAGGGGTCCCGGCACGCCCTGGAGGACTGACAAACCTAGACATGAAGTATGAGAAAGGAAGGGCCAGGCAGAGCTGAGCTGGGCTGCAGAGGTAAGAGCATGAGCCTGGCAGCTCTGGAGGGGTGTGGCCTTGAGACCTTCCTTCCAGATTCTGAAACCAAATGGGGATGGACAGACTGTCCTGAGGTACCTAGGCCAGGAGCTCCCGACACAAGCCCTCCAGCAGCCCCCCAGCCTGTGGGGGTGGGTAGCAGACTTCTGATGTTCTTGTGCCTCCCTACAAAGTGCCCCCCCAGCTATACCCACCTGCCCTCTGGCCATAGTGCTCCAGGAGAAATGTCAAGAGCCCATGGTAGCTCTGGTGCAGGGTAGTTACTCAGTCTGAGCTTTCTGTCTCTTCTGCTGTGAAACAGGAGTAGCATGGCTTATCCCCTAGAGCTGCTATAAGGATGCAGTAAGACCAAATAGAAAGCACCCAGCAGATCCACGCCAGCACTGCCTGGCTCCCCAATAAGGTGGGGTGGCTCGCCAACCACACTGTGGTCCCAGACTGCAGCAATGGGAACTTGGGGAGCACCTTAAGATGCCAGGGATCAGGGGCCGGGGCAAGGGTACCCAGGGACAGAGTACACACTAGGGGCACAAAGGGTGAAGACATGGCCCCAACCTGGCCTGCAGCACAGCAAGAACAAAGGTGGCAGTTTCTGCAGCCCCAGGTACAAGGACAACTCTAGACAAAAGGAGGTGGCATTAACTGCTTTATGTACATAGCATCCCCACTAGCAGTGGCATCCAGCGACTTCCAGATCAGTCCAAGCTCCATCCTGGCAGGTTCCAGTGACAGACATAAGAAATGAGGTGACCCAGTTATCCAAAAAGGACTGTCAGTGAGGTCCTGGAATCTCAAGCCAGACTGAAAGAAGGCAGGTCCCAGCATCCCCCAAGGGAGCAACCCAGGTAGAAACCGAGCTCATAGCCGGGGCCGGGGCTGCTTGGACTGCAGGTCCCACAGACCAATGAGGCGATCAGCCTCCCTCCAGCCAGACAGCAGGGCCCCATGCGTTGTAGAGTAAAACGTCCGATGTGTGGCTTCCCCTGCAAACAGGATCTGGAGCTGCAGAAAAGGGTCAGGGTTGGATGCAATTGAGACAGCTGACACAGAGACAGAAAACAGAGCCCCATGCTCACCTATTCACTCCCAAGACTGGCAGGAGACCTCATGCCTGGACTGTGCAGGTGTGAATAGCACCTGGAGAAAGCAAGCTGTGAGGCAGTGAAGAGTGGCCTCTCCAGAACTGCTGAGTCCCCCAGGAGGATGAGGAGAGACTCCAGAGCCAGGCAGACAGAGAAGTAGGCAAAAGCTGGAGCCTATGACCTGGGCAGAAGCTGACCAGTAAGTGACGTGGCCAACAAACGAGCTGAACAAGATTATAAGATGACTGGAAGACTGAATGGCGAGTACTGGATGACGCTCAGGAGTGTGTCTTTTTTAGTGTCGTAACAGTACAGCTACATATGTTTGCTGGGCTTTTTGTTGTGGTTATGGTTTTGTAGTGCTAGGATTAGAACCCAGGGCCTCGTGCACACCAGGCAAATGCTCTACACTGAGCTGCACCCGACCATACTTTCAGAGTGTCCTTACTGTTTAGAGTCACACACAGTATACGTGCGTATGACCATGCTCAGAAACCATGGGTCGGGAGGCTGCCGAGGACAGGGTAGGCCCCTGCAAGCTTCTGCCTACTTTTGTATACATTTGATGTTTTCCATGATTTTTTTTATACTTGTAGATGGACAGCATACCTCTATTTTATTTATTTTTATGTGGTGCTGAGGATTGAACCCAGTGCCTCATAAATGCGAGGCAAGTGCTCTGCCACTGAGATACAGCCCCAGGCCCTCCACAATTTTTTTTTTCTTTTTTTGAAAGTGATAATATAAACATGTGCTTTACAGAGAGAGTAAATTTAGAGATCAAGTCAGCTGAGGGGCTGAGGATGTAGCTAGGGGTAGAGACTTGCCTAGCGTGCATGGGACTATGAGTTTACCCCTGCACCACAAAAAAGAATAAAAAAATTGTTTGAAAGAATAGTCTGGGTAGGGGATGAGCTGCCATCAGCTACTTTTGTTTCACTTTGTTAGCCAGTATTGTAGAATTATGACTCTTGAAGCTATTTGCATATATAGTTTTGATATAACCAATGTACTTTTAAATTAACTTTTAATTTTGAAAAGAAAATGGCTGAGTCTGGAGGTCCAGCCCTACCCACCACTCACTCGTACTCCAGTGCCTCTGGGTCTTCACAGGAACTAGATCTGCAGTGGGATGCTGGTACCCCACCAGGGCCTGCCATCATACCTGGGTGCTGGAGTCGTCCACAGGGAGAGGCTGGGCCAGCTGGTCTATGTCATCTCCAGTGCTGCCCACGGCCACGTAGCTGTAGGAGCCCCGGGTGTATGGGGCACTGTGCCAGCAAGACCTCAGCACACTCTTAGGCGCAGGCAGCTGTGGGTTTCCTGAACCAGAGATGTAGCATGTCAACCTGGAACCCTCAATCATGTGTCTGCAACTGGTATTCATTTTAAAGACTGAGGAATTTAAAGTGAAAGACACTGGCTAGGGAAAAACTGAGCCACCAAGTGCTTTCCTTCTTTCTTTTTCCTGGTGCTGGGGATGGAACCAGGGGTGCTTAATCTTCAGTCCTTTTCATTTTTTATTTTGAGACAGTCTTGCTAAGTTGCTGAGGCTGGCCTTGCTTGAACTTGCAATCCTCCTGCCACAGACTCTAGAGCTGCTGGGACTACAGAGCATGCACCACTGTGTCCAGCTTCAAAACTGTTCCTAAGAGGCTCTTCCCTTCTCAGCTGCTCTGCTAAATGCTGCAAACACAGCCAGGGCCAACAGGCAACACCAGAGGCCAGAGGCCCTGCTAACCAACTGACCCTTGGCTGCCTGAGCAACTTTTCTGAGCCTCAGCTTCTTCACCTGAAAGTCTCTGTTAAAGGACAAACAGCATTTATTTTGGTGGCAGATTTTAGAAAAAAGAAGTAGTAAGTGTTTATAAAGGCATTTTAGTTCCTCAATGATAAGAATGTTATTGACTCCACCAGTAGGAGCAAGGGCTGTCCTGGAGATGCACAGAGCTGATTTAGTTCTCTGTTCTGAAATGTAAACTTCCTGCCTACAGATAAATCTGCTTTGGCAAGTTAAGCACCTGTCACTCTCCGGAGCACTTGGGTTAGAGAGAGAAGTACTTCTTCATCAGACAGAGTCTCCATAAACTCAGACTCCAGGCCAGCAATGAAGCCGCAGAGCACGTGCACAGACCTGCTGGAAAGAGACCATAGAAGAGCCACAGCTAGCCCAGCTCTGCTGTCCCTCTGCAAGGACCCACACTCTGTGGGCCCCACCACACCCACACAGTGTCCCAGAGCTTTCCAGGACAGTGCTCTAAGGGTCCGAGCAACTGCATAACACCAAGATGATGTTTGCTGCTCCGGCCATCATTTGCAAGATGTGCACTGGCAGTGACGTGTCGCGAGGTGCGGGGCGCTGTGAGCATGGCCATACACATGTGCAGTGAACAGTGCTGACTATGCTGGCTTCACTCGGAGTCCTCACCAAGAGACTTTTCTGAGATTGGTGGTGATAGGGTTTCACGGGTGCTAGGCAAGCCTTCTACCATTGTGCCACATGCCCAGCCCCAAACTTTTTCTTATTATATAACAAAATGTGTCAACATTTGGAAGATTGCAAGAACCAATATTTTCTGAATGACCAAAATCAGAGATAGGTGAAGGATCCATTCAAAGTGTCAGACAGACGAATGGACTTCAGTGGAACAAAGTGCAAAGTCCCTGGATATGGCCTCAGACTCCACGCCTGGCCCTCAAGAACCACCACATGTTGAGCGGTACAGCTGTCTGAAAGCTGTGTCTCACTACTCCCTCCTTCCAGCTGCAAGTCTGTGTAGCTCGGCCCTCTTCCTGTCCACCAAAACAAAACACCGCTGCAGGGTAAACTCAGCAGCAGCTTTGAGAACCAGCAACTCTGGAGCCAGACTCCAAGAGACCTGCAGACAAGCAAACTCCACCACCCTTCTCATCAAATTTGTTTGAGAATATAGTTATTTTTAATTGTGAAATGCTACTAATGCTATGGAATAGGTTTATTACTGTCATCTTAAATAAGACTTATCTTTAAATTTCTGAGTTTCAGTTTCTCACATGGTAAGTGCAGACATGATCCCCATAGTTGAAAGCTCTTGAGATCCTCACCACTTTATAAAGGGATCCTGGCCACAAGTCTGAGAGCCACACATCATCTGCCACACTGGTTTCTAAACTCTGGAAAGTAAGTTTTCTCTTCAATGAGAGGGGATAGTGGAAGGGCTGCTCAGAGGCCACGCCTCCTGCTCCCATCTGAGTCCCTAGTCTTTCATGCTGGAAATAAGGTCCTTGAGTATAATATAAACTTCTCTTTGCCACAAGACCACAGAACACTGCCTGTTCTGTCTCACCGTGAAAGTGTGAGCCCCACCCTCTGATCATGCCTGATGCTACTTCCTGAATTAGCACCAGCTAAATATGTTATGCTGCTGGACCATGAAGTCAAGCCTTCCCCTATGGTGCTTGATCCATTACTTATAAGTATTCAGTAATTGCATCCCCTTCAAGTATCATCTCTCCCCAAAAATGAACAGACCCATATTTCAAATTTCTTCTGCATCAACAAGTCCCAGTTTCCTACAGAATCCCAGTAAGTGCAATGGAATCGAACATTCCTTCAATCCACCAGCACATTCTGGCCCTTTGAGACACTGATAACCTGTGTGCAGTTAACCTCCATCTGTCCCTGCAGGAGTCAGGCCCAGGATGTCAGTAGTCAGCCCCTTAGAGGCTCATGCCCCCCTCACCCATTAAGCCCTCAGAAATGGCTGGCAGTGAGCCCCACATGTTGTTTTCTCAAGCAGACAGACCTAGTGAATGGGCCAGCCTCCCTCAGAGCACTTAGGACACAGACATACCCGAAGGGTGGCAGGACCAAGAAGCCAATGAGCTTCTTGAACCAAGCATCCTGCATTGAGGGAGCTGTGTCCTGAAGGGGTGATGTGTCCTCCCATACCACCTGGATGAGCTGGCAGTCGGGCTCCCAGAAGGGCTCCTCAAACTCCAGGAAGATTTTGTTGTTGGTCCCAAAGCCTATTTTCCTGATTGCTTCTGCTTTCTCAGCAGGCAGTGGAGGATCAAAGAA